GCGCAATACTGTGCAATTGAAGATTTCTTGCTATTGCGCAATACTGTGCAATTGAAGATTTCTTGCTATTGTGCAATACTGTGCAATTGAAAATTTCTTGCTATTGCACAATACTTATTAGATAATAATTTACACATCCTGTTTGGTGTGTATCTCCTACCATATCATTATTATTTGCTTTTAAATATTAATCAGAAATAACCAACTTAAAATGGAAAATTTTAAAAGAAAAAAAAAAGGAAAAAAAGAAAAAAAAAGAAAAAACAAAAATCCCCCCACAAATTTTTTGAACCCCCTTATGATTCATCACCCCCAAACTCAATCCCAGCCTTCCCTTTGTGGTATGGTACCTTGCAGTACAATTTCAGAGAGATCCATACACTTGAACACAAGTTATTGTCTGGAAACTAGAAAAATGCTTATTTTTGGCCCCTTTTTGGCCCCCAATTCCTAAATGTTTCGGGCAATTACCCCCAAACTCAATTCCAGCTTTCCCTTTGTGATATGGAACCTTGTAGTACAATTTCAGAAATATCCAAACACTTACACACAAGTTATTGTCATGAAACTAGAAAAATGCTTGTTTTTTGCCCCTTTTTTGGCCCCTAATTCCTAAAATTTTGAGGCAATTACCCCCAAAATCAATCCCAGCCTTTCCTTTGTGATATGGAACCTTGTGGTACAATGTCAGAGAGATCCATACACTTACACACAAGTTATTGTCTGGAAGTTACAAAAATGCTTATTTTTGGCCCCTTTTTGGCCCCTAATTCCTTAACTGTTGGTACCATAACCCCCAAAATCAATCCCAACCTTCCTTTCGTGGTATTGAACCTTATGGTAAAATATCATGGAGATCCATTCACTTAAACTAAAGTCAGAGTGCGAAAACCAATGTGTCTTCGGACGAAGCCGGACGACGCCAGACGACGACGACGACGACGCCAACGTCATACCAATATACGACCAAAAAATTTTTAATTTTTGCGGTCGTATAAAAAGAATCCAGAACTTAATATAGCTGATAGGAGCTTCCCTCATTTAACTATGAACCAAAACAGAATCCAGAACTTAATTCTGCTGATCAGTGATTGGCGCTTCCTTCATTTTACAATGAACCAAAACAGAACCCAGAAATTAATTCTGGTGATTGGAGATCATCATTTTACTATGAATCAATACAGAATCCAGAACTTAATTCTGCTGAATGGCGCTTCCTTCATTTTACAATGAACCAAAACCGAATCAAGAACTAAATTCTACAGATTGGAGACCCTCATTTTACTATGAACCAAAACAGAATCCAGAACTTAATTCTGCTGATTGGCACTTCCTTCATTTTACTATGAATCAAAACAGTCCAGAACTTAATTCTGCTGATTGGAGCTTTCCTCATTTTACAATGAACCAAAATAGAACCCAAGAAATTAATTCTGGTGATTGGAGATCATCATTTTACTATGAATCAATACAGAATCCAGAACTTAATTCTGCTGAATGGCGCTTCCTTCATTTTACAATGAACCAAAACCGAATCAAGAACTAAATTCTACAGATTGGAGACCCTCATTTTACTATGAACCAAAACAGAATCCAGAACTTAATTCTGCTGATTGGCACTTCCTTCATTTTACTATGAATCAAAACAGAATCCAGAACTTAATTCTGCTGATAGCTCAGCTTCCCTCATTGTACAATGAACCAATAAATTGCTTCGCCGAGCGCAGCTGGATACGACCGCAGAGGTCCAACTGCAGAGGTCCAACCCTGAACAGTTGGGGCAAAATGGACACAATATTCACGCTTGATACAGGTCTGAATTTGGATTGTAATTCAATATTTGACACATAATAGGTTTCTGACACAGAATAACTGTAGTCAAAGAACTTAGAATTGGTTATATGATTTGAATTTATATTAATTTTTTTGCTTTTGTGCAATACACTATGCTGTTGCGAATTGACCTTCCCCCCCCCCCCCCCCCCCCCCCCCTCCACTTCAAAAAAAAAAATTTGAAGGATTTTCTTTTTGATTTCTGAAATCTTGAGGAGAAAAAATTGTAACCATCATATAGAGCTTGGCCTAAACTTTCTACACTATTAAATGTTTCCCCTTTGTTTGGTGTGATTATTCTTGGAAATATGTTATGTCTTATATAAAGCAACCTGTCTATATGCCGTAGGACATGAACCTACACATATTTTAGCACAGAAAAATCACTGACATCATAATTATATAAACAGAAAAAATACAGCTATTTTATGTAAATAGGTAATTGACTATACAGGAACATAAAATTGAGAATGGAAATGGGGAATGTGTCAAAGAGACAACAACCCGACCATAGATCAGACAACAACCGAAGGCCACCAATGGGTCTTCAATGCAGCGAGAAACTCCCGCACCCGGAGGCGTCCTTCAGCTGGCCCCTAAACAAATATGTATACTAGTTTAGTGATAATGGACGTCATACTAAACTCCAATTTATACACAAGAAACTAAAATTAAAAATAATACAAAACTAACAAAGGCCAGAGGCTCCTGACTTGGGACAGGCGCAAAAATGCAGCGGGGTTAAACATGTTTTTTGAGATCTCAACCCTCCCCCTATAGCTCTAGCCAATGTAGAAAAAACAAACGTACAACAGTACGCACAGTAAAACTCAGTTCAAGAGAAGTCCGAGTCCGATGTCAGAATAGGAAACAAAAGAAAATAAACAAAATGACAATAATACATAAATAACAACAGACTACTAGCAGTTACTGACATGCCAGCTCCAGACCTCAATTAAACTGATTGAAAGATTATGTCATGAAGTTTTTTAAAAAAATCAGAATAAAATGCTCTGCTGGGGTGCAGCTTGATACGAATACAGAGGTCGAACCCTGAACAGTTGGGGCAAGTATGGACACAACATTAAAGCTTGATACAGCACTGAATTTGGATTGTGATTAAATATTTGACACAGCTTAGGTTTCTGACACAGAATGAATGTGGTCCAAGAACTTAATTTCTTTTAATTTACCTATTCAAACCATATCATTATTATTTGCTTTTATATATAAATCAGAAATAACTAATTTAAAATGGAAAATTTTAAAGAAAAAAAAGGAAAAAAATCCCCCCCCCCCAAATTTTTTGAACCCCCATATGATTCATCACCCCCAAACTGAATCCCAGCCTTCCCTTTGTGGTATGGTACCTTGCAGTACAATTTCAGAGAGATCCATACACTTGAACACAAGTTATTGTCTGGAAACTAGAAAAATGCTTGTCTTTTGGCCTCAAATTCCTAAACGTCTGGGGCAATTACCCCCAAACTCAAACCCAGCTTTCCCTTTGTGATATGGAACCTTGTAGTACAATTTCATAAAGATCCATACACTTACACACAAGTTATTGTCCTGAAACTAGAAAAATGCTTGTTTTTTGCCCCTTTTTGGCCCCTAATTCCTAAAACTTTGAGGCAATTACCCCCAAAATCAATCCCAGCCTTCCATTTGTGGTATATTGGTACCTTGCAGTACAATTTCAGAGAGATCCATACACTTGAACACAAGTTATTGTCTGGAAACTAGAAAAATGCTTGTTTTTTGGCCCCTTATTCCTAAATGTTTTGGGCAATTACCCTCAAACTCAATTCCAGCTTTCCCTTTGTGATATGGAACCTTGTAGTACAATTTCATAAAGATCCATACACTTTCACACAAGTTATTGTCCGGAAACTAGAAGAATGCTTGTTTTTTGCCCCTAATTCCTAATACTTTTAGGCAATTACCCCCAAAATCAATCCCAGCCTTCCATTTGTGGTATGGTACCTTGCAGTACAATTTCAGAGAGATCCATACACTTGAACACAAGTTATTCTCTGGAAACTAGAAAAATGCTTATTTTTGGCCCCTTATTCCTAAACGTTTTGGGCAATTACCCCCAAACTCAATTCCAGCTTTCCCTTTGTGATATGGAACTTTGTAGTACAATTTCATAAAGATCCATACACTTACACACAAGTTATTGTCGGGAAACTAGAATAAACTGCTTCGCTGAGCGCAGCTGGATACACCCGCAATGGTCTAACCCTGAACAGTTGGGGCAAAAATGGACACAATATTCAAGCTTGATACAGGTCTGAATTTGGATTGTAATTAAATATTTGACATACATCTATTATAGGTTTCTGAATAAATGTAGTCAAAGAACTTGAAGTTGGTTATATGAATTGAATTTATATTCAATTAAAGATTTCTTGCTGTTGTGCAATACACTGTGCTGTTGCGCAATACTTAGTAAATCTGTTGTCAGACTATAAACAAATAAAATTTATAAAATTCTAAAGGGAGCTTACATCAATAGATATAAACAGTTCACCAAAGTTTCATACGAATTGCTGAAAGCATTTTTGAGTTTTTGTCTGAAAACTGGAAAATCCCCCCTTTTTTAATGAATAAACCCCATAATTCGGAAATGTAAAATCTAAAATTTATAAAATTCTAAAGGGAGCTTACATCAATAGATATCAACATCAAAGTTTCATGAGAACTGCTGAAAGCATTTTTGAGTTATTGTCCGAAAACTGGAAAATCCCCCTTTTTTTTATGAATAAAACCCCATAACTCGGAAACCTCTTATCTAAAATTTATAAAAATCCAAAGGGAGCTCATGTCAATAGATATAAACAATTAACCAAAATTTCTTGCAAGTTGGTGAAAGCATTCTTGAGTTATTGTCCGAAAACTGGAAAATCCCCCTTTTTTTAATGAATAAAACCCCATAACTTGGAAACGTAAAATCTAAAATTTATAAAATACGAAAGGGAGCTCACGTCAATAGATATAAACAATTCACCAAAGTTTTAAGCAAATTGGTTAAAGCGTTTTTGAGTTAATGTCCGACATGTTGACGACGGACGGACGGACAGACGGACGGACGTACAACGGTATACCTTAATACGTCCCGTAAACGGGCGTATAAATGCTTGTTTTTTTCCTCTTTTTGGCCCTTAATTCCTAAAACTTTGAGGCAATTACTCCCAAAATCAATCCCAGCCTTCCATTTGTGGTATGGTACCTTGCAGTACAATTTCAGAGAGATCCATACACTTGAACACAAGTCATTCTCTGGAAACTAGAAAAATGCTTATTTTTGGTCCCTTTTTGGCCCCTTATTCCTAAAACTTTGAGGCAATTACTCCCAAAATCAATCCCAGCCTTCCATTTGTGGTATGGTACCTTGCAGTACAATTTCAGAGAGATCAATACACTTGAACACAAGTTATTGTCTAGAAACTAGAAAAATGCTTGTTTTTGGGCCCCTTTTTGGCCTCAAATTCCTAAACGTCTTGGGCAATTACCCCCAAACTCAAACCCAGCTTTCCCTTTGTGATATGGAACCTTGTAGTACAATTTCATAAAGATCCATACACTTACACACAAGTTATTGTCCTGAAACTAGAAAAATGCTTGTTTTTTGCCCCTTTTTGGCCCCTAATTCCTAAAACATTGTGGCAATTACTCCCAAAATCAATCCCAGCCTTCCATTTGTGGTATGGTACCTTGCAGTACAATTTCAGAGAGATCCATACACTTGAACACAAGTTATTGTCTGGAAACTAGAAAAATGCTTGTTTTTTGGCCCCTTTTTGGCCTCAAATTCCTGAACGTCTTGGGCAATTACCCCCAAACTCAAGCCAAGCTTTCCCTTTGTGATATGGAACCTTGTAGTACAATTTCATAAAGATCCATACACTTACACACAATTTATTGTCCGGAAACTAGAAAAATGCTTGTTTTTGTCCCTTTTTGGCCCCTAATTCCTAAAATTTTGAGGCAATTACCCCCAAAATCAATCCAAGCCTTCCATTTGTGGTTATGGTACCTTGCAGTCCAATTTCAGAGAGATCCATACACTAACACACAAGTTATTGTCATGAAACTAGAAAAATGCTTGTTTTTTGCCCCTTTTTTTGGCCCCTAATTCCTAAAATTTTGAGGCAATTATCCCCAAAATCAATCCCAGCATTCCCTTTGTGATATGGATACTTGAGGTACAATGTCAGAGAGATCCATACACTAACACACAAGTTATGTCTGGAAGTTACAAAAATGCTTATTTTTGGCCCCTTTTTGGACCCTAATTCCTTAACTCTTGGTACCATAACCCCCAAAATCAATCCCAACCTTCCTTTTGTGGTATTGAACCTTATGGTAAAATTTCATAGAGATCCATTCACTTAAACTAAAGTTAGAGTGCGAAAACCAATGTGTCTTCGGACGACGACGAAGACGCCAACATCATACCAATATACGACCACAAAATTTTTTTGCGGTCGTATAAAAATCACTGACATCATAATTGTATAAACAGAAAAAATACAGCTATTTTATGTAAATAGGTAATAGACTATACAGGAACATGTCATGAAGTTTTTATGATGTATAATATTGTTATATCAAACCTAATTTCAGTTTGAATCCCTTTCATACCGCAAATATAGATTATAAAAAAAAAATCTGAACAAAATAAAATAAAAGTTTGCTATATAACTGATGGCAGTCCAAGGATTTTTCAAATAAATCTTTTTATTAAAACAAATTCAGAAAACAAGGCAATTGTTTCCCTTATATCTCTGGTCTAGTCACTATCTGTATTTTCTCTCTCAAAATTCACAAATAACAAGAATATATGTCCATTGGAAACAATGCCTCTCTCACACTATATTTCCATTTACATATTCATGAAACCATGCAATCTTGGTCAAAACCCTATTTTGGCATATATTTTTAAAATTTACATCATAATGAAAGTTGTACTATGTGACCCCAACTTCACGGTAAACACGGTGATGTATAGTGAAATCTAGGTCAGAATCCTAATTTAGCCTATTTATTTATATGTAAACATCGTAATGAACATATCTACTAAGTTTCCAGTTTGTGTGACCAGTTGAACTTCATAGTAAACCATCTTAAACCAACACTTTAACCCCAAATGGTACAGACTGCAGTGGTTCCATAGCTTTTAGAAATCAACTGGACATTTGGTCCAGTAAACCATTCTTCTTAACTGGACCAGACTATTTTTTACAGGACATTTACACATATAATTTGGACACAATTAAAATTTAACTGGTCATTTGGTCAATTAATGCATATCACTTAACTGGACCAAACCAATTTTTACTGGCCTTTGCCAAATGTTCAGTGACCTTGGGAATGACCGAGTCTGAGAGACTGTAACACACAAAGCTCTCCTCATATTGTTGATAGGGCATACAAATCTATATATTGCAGATAATATACTAGTCTGACCTCTGAATAATTTGATCAAAAAATGCACATTGAATACAAAACTGCACAGATTATTAGCCTAGCTACATGTCAGAGAAGAAGATTTTTGTTAAAATTAACAGATGATGGACACCAAGTGATGCCATTAGCCCAACCTGAGCCACAAAATGAATCAATTCACTTCAGACAAGAAGTAATAAAATGCATTCTTGTGTAACACAAGTTTAATATAAGTCTGGGAATAAATGAAAAATTTAATTTCAAACACAGATTCAGATGGGAGTGTACATTCTCTTCTCCTCCATCCCTCCATCCCCCCCCCCCCCCCCTCACAAGAGAAAAAAAACTTGTAATAAATAAACAAGAGAGTACAGGCTGAAATATCTTGTCTGAGATGACATGTACACCTTACAATCATTTTATACACCAAATAGAGTGGTCCTATTACTATTTAGGTACCTGAGAAACAGATTAAACCACAAAATCTCAACATTGACCAATGAAACATGAAAATGAGGTCAAGGTCATATGAACCCACCCAGACAGACACGACATTTACACCTTACAATCAATCCATACACCAAATATAGTTGACCTATTGCTTATTAAGTATCTGATAAACTGACAAAATTACGAAAACTTATCATTAACTAATAAACCAGGAGGTCAAGGTCAGATGAAACCTGCCAGACAGACAGGTACATCTGACAATCATTCCATACACCAAATACAGTGGCCCTATTGCTTATAGTATATGAGAAATATGCCAAACCACAAAAACTAAACATTGTCCAATGAACCATGAAAATGAGGTCAAAGTCAAATGAAACCTACCAGACAGACATATGCATGTACACCTTACAATCATTCCATACACCAAATACAATGGCCTTATTGCTCAAAGTATATCATAAATAGACCAAACCACAAAAAACTAAACATTGTCCAATGAACCATGCAATTGAGGTTAAGGTCATATGAAACCTTCCAGTCGGATATGTACACCTTACAATTATTCCATACACCAAATATAGTTGACCTAATGCTTATAGTATCTGAGATACGGACTTGACCATGACCACATAACTTTAACCTTGATAACTGATCCATGAAATGAGGTCAAGGTCAGATGAACCCTACCTGATGGACATGTAGACCTTGCAAGGAACCCATATATCAAATATAGTTAGCGCTGTCACTTTTGGATTGTAATCCCTATGTCTCGCATTCTTTGACTTTTGTCACAGGCAAGACAAAAATTAAAGCAAATTTTATGTCAAAATAAGATCCACTAGTTCTTTATTCTCAGGAGTGCCCCCTCCCACCCCCACCGAACATCAAATCCTGGCCATGTGACTGATTATGTCTTGTATGTTATATGAATGAACAGAATTACATATAATTGTGGTATGGACAATATATATCACAGAGTCAAGGTCAGTTGTAAACCAGTAAATTATACCATAATTTATGAGGATTTTCCTTGTTTTTGACATATATCAGACAGTAGTTTTCAAATATGACTTATTTACTGAGCTAATTAGTCAAAAATGTGTTGTAAGTCTCTAAATATAGTTACTTCTTGTCTAAATTCAGTCTTAAGTATATTTTCAACTTACCACTACATGAAGAAAAATTTTTTTTACTTAACACATTGTCTATTTTTGTATCATTTGTACAAGATTTTTATCAATTATAACCTTGTACCCATTTTGGACTTGTAAAAAACATGCAAAAATATGAATTTCTCATAAAACAAATAATTCATTCCATAAAATATATATAGATACATAATGAAATGACAAACTACGCATTCTGCTACATATAGATACATAATGAAATGACAAACTACACATTCTGCTACATATAATAGATACATAATGAAATGACAAACTACGCATTCTGCTACAAGAAACTTGAAAAATTAGAAGTGCACATTGCAATTTGGTACTAACTATTAAAGTATGAAATTATTCTTTACTGATCCCAGTGACTGATTAATAAGGTTTACAGGATTTAAAGTTTTCAATGAACAGAACAAAAGTTGTTATAAGTTTATTACGTCATGAACTTTTTGATCTTATTGTAGGCTGTATCTTCCAGGTGTAAGGAATTAATCCAAATCAATTAATGCTTAATACATTGTACTACTATACAAAACATTTAAAATGGTCATGAAAGGGCCTTTTATATCAGACTATATGGCATTAGTTTTTCTCATTGTCAGAAGGCCGTACAGTTGCCTATAATTGCTTTTATCCACTTCATTTGAACTCTGGTGGATAGTTGTCTCAATGAGAATCATACCACATCTCCTTGTTTTTATATGTATTTCAATAACTGATAATGTATACAAGTAACCTAGAAGATCATCCTAAAAGAAATAGACTGAAAGAAAGATTATTTTTAAAACAACTGCTACAAAAGAGAAGATTGAAGTAAAAATATTTAAAAAATTTCAAGACCTATGACCAATTTGGCAAACACATTTACAATGTAAAAACAAGCTAAACAAAATCAAGTCTCAAAACAACCAAGTATCATTCATACTTTCTTCTGCCTTTTCAGCAATCGTGAAATAACGTATTGTTAAAATTCAATGTTGAAGAGCTTAGAGATGCTTTGGGGATATACAAACTTAACTGCTTTGAAAAATTCAACTTTTTATATCAATAATTTTACAGAAAATGAACGTATCAATAGTATTTCATATCAACATAAAAGTGCTAACTCAACTGGGCTGGTTCCCTAGGGGGAGTACATGTAATACTTGACAGAATAATAGTAAAGAAATTTGTAAGGGGTTCCGCGGAACCCTGTGTCTTGCCTGCAATTGCTGCTGTCGGTGTAAAAGTGTAATGATGAATTAAAAAGTGAGTCCATTTATCATTAAATACAGAATTTTAAAAAGAATTCAAACTTTTTCTTTAGATGGTATTTCTTGGTCTTGAAAATGAGCTTCTGTCCAAGTTTCATAACAATCCATGAAAGTTTACAAATTTATCATGTCAAAAAAAATGTAATCCCAGACTGTCGCTAAATGTTAACTGTAAAAAAAGAAGTCCATCCATCAGAAAAATACGAAAAATGAAAACCTTATATTTTTAGAGGTTTGCTTCAGACATTATCTCTTAATCATTAAAAAGCTTCTGCCAAAGTTTCATAAAACTCTATGAATGTTTGACAAAGTAATTGATGTGTAACAAACTTAAACGGCAGACTGTACCTACATGTCAACTGTAAAAAAAACTAAGTCCATTTATCTGTAAAATACAGAAAAATGAAAATAAATATTTTCAAAATAAAGCTCTGGATACTGTCTTTTGGTCATAAACAAGTTTCTGTCCAAATTTCATAAAATTCCATGTAGGTTTGACAAAGTTATTGATGTCAAAAATGGAAAAATGAAAATAAATGTTTTTAAAATTTTGCTCTGGATATTGTATTAACAAGCTTCTGTCCAAATTTCATAAAATTCCATGTAGATTTGACAAAGTTGATGTCTATAAAACTTTAACATAGACAGATCCTAAATGTTGACGCCACCGAACTTGGAATCTAGGATCGCTATGTCTACGAAATGGCTCGACAAAAGCACCGTACAACCTGTTATCGATTTCTTTTGTACTTTAAACAGAATCAAAGTATAAAACAGTGTACAAACAAGTTGAAACAGAAACAGAAACATTTACAAATGTCAATAAAACGCAGTGTACAAACAAGTTGAAACAGAAACATTTACAAATATTAATAAAACGCAGTGTACAAACAGGTTAAAACAGAAACATTTACAAATATTAATAAAACGCAGTGTACAAACAGGTTAAAACAGAAACATTTACAAATGTCAATAAAACGCAGTGTACAAACAAGTTGAAACAGAAACATTTACAAATATTAATAAAACGCAGTGTACAAACAGGTTAAAACAGAAACAGAAACATTTACAAATGTCAATAAAACGCAGTGTACAAACAGGTTAAAACAGAAACATTTACAAATGTCAATAAAACGCAGTGTACAAACAAGTTGAAACAGAAACATTTACAAATATTAATAAAACGCAGTGTACAAACAGGTTAAAACAGAAACAGAAACATTTACAAATGTCAATAAAACGCAGTGTACAAACAAGTTGAAACAGAAACATTTACAAATATTAATAAAACGCAGTGTACAAACAGGTTAAAACAGAAACAGAAACATTTACAAATGTCAATAAAACGCAGTGTACAAACAGGTTAAAACAGAAACATTTACAAATGTCAATATCACACAATGTAAGTAAATACTTTTTGCTTCCTTTACACCAATCTTTAAACAATGTGTAGTGCTTGGCACAATCAAAACATGAAACACAGTATTGACAGTGATGTTGACACATGTATGACACATGTAAGACACTGATAGTTCATCTAACCTTACATGATGACATATGCTCATATTCATATTCAAGAAACATTATTACAATAAAATACAAGAATCTCTGTCCCTTGGACACCATGATCTGCTCAATAATTTTTTTGTTCAGTGAACCGTGAAATCAGGTCACTTCTTTTTTTAATGTCCTAATTATGCGACTATAAGAATAAAACTATCTAATAATCTGAACTAGTTACCAGAGAACTCTCAACTAAATTTGAACATCTTAATCTCCGGTGATTCGTCTTTAACTAATGATGAAAATGAAAGAATTTTAAAGAATGTATATGAATTTATTAAAGAGTCAAAGATGTTTCTAATTGTATAATATAGCACACTAAAGTGCATATACATGTATATTGTGACTACAACCATTCACATATACATATATATCTCAACTTGTTCAACTTGCTCAACTAGACAACTTGTTTGATTCGCTCGTGTATGTAACAACGTATTTGATTTTAACGAAAAAACCTCTGTTAGTCTGTATTACTGAAAAATTATTACACCAGGGTTTTCCATATCACAAACTAGTCAAAACATTTACTAAATTTTATTATCGGTACAAGGACAACATTCGTAAATATAAATCAACATGCAGACAAATCTTATATGGTCAGGTATTTCACATCCAATCTTTTATGGTAATATTCTATACAAAGCACAAAAATGTAAACATTCACCTCAAAAGCTAACCAAACCTTTAAACAGACTTATTCAGAAGGGATATAGTTACGATACTGTTGTCAGGTCATTAAAGATGGCATATTTTGGTATTAATATTGATTCACTCTTAGGGTCTTTGCATCGGAAATAAACACATTTATTCTAAAACCAGTTGTTGGCATGATATGGGTTATGTACTTCTCATATATTTTATGATGGTA